CTCTCTGGCTTTCTGCTGGATCTGGATCCTGCACCTGGCTCAGCACCATCTCCAGTTCCTGGACTTGAACAAGTGCCCTGCCATACTGCCTGCTGAGCTTGGGATTGTTGCCTTCACAGCCTGTGAAGCAACCATCTACCATCTGACCTGCGGATCTTGGGTTCGTCAGCCTTCAAAGCCAACAGCCTGCTGTATGCACTCTCCCCCTACTGGAATATGCTCTCCTTGAAGACAGGACTTGATGAGAATTCATCTCTACATCCCAAGACCTAGGCCTGGCTGCCAGGCTGCAAGCCCCAGGCAGGCTGGCAGGGAACAGAACCTCCCGGGTGGAAAGACAGCTCATGTGAGGAGATGTTAGATGACCATGGACCTGGTGTCCTTACAAGAATGGGAATGTGAACCTGATCTGTCTGACTGGGGCTCCCAACCTGCCAGGCTGTGCTCAGGCCAACTGGGCTGGTGCTGAAAGGACAGCTCCTTGCACAGGGTGGGTGGGTGGGGTTGGAGTCCACCGGAGCTGCAGGTGCTCAAGAAGGCAGTCCCCCAGCAGCCCAGACCCTGTGCTCTGCATTCTTCGCCGAGGAGACAGAGCTGGCTGGAACCACCAGAGCCCTGGGGATTCGGATTTTGTCTGATAACAAACAAAAAAACCCTCAGCTCTGTCAAGTGGGGTACAACTCACAGTAACCACTCCTTGGGTTTCTCAGACAGGATCACTACCAAAGTAGATTGCCCAACCTTCCTTCCAAGGAGAGGCTAGTGGGTTGAACCGTCAGCCTTCTGGTTAGCAGTTAAGTGCCTTAGGCACTATGCCACCAGAACTATGGGATATAGGGGAGGTCAATGGCACTTAGCCCTGGACAAGACAGAGGGGAGCCTCAGCAGAGCTGCCCCAAGTCCCCATGTCTACCTCCGGGTCCAAGGTCCTGGTGGGCTTACTGAGGTCCTAGAGGCGCCCCTAGAATAGGGAGCCTTTGTCCGGGCAACTGCAGTGTGAGTGTGTGTATGTATGTGTGTGTATGCATGTGTATGTGTGTGGATATATGTGTGCTCACATAGGTATGCTTGTGTGCATGTGTGAGTGCATGTGTGTTGTGTGTGTATCTGAGTGTATGTTTGTGCATGTGTATGTGCATGAGTGTATGTGCATATGAGTGTGTGTGTGAGTGTATGTGTGTATGTCTGTGGATGTGTGAGTGTATGTGTGTATTCTGTGTATATTATGTGTATATGTATATGTGAGTGAATGTGTGTGCATGTGTATGTATATGTATTTGAGTGTACGTATATGTGTGAGTTGATGTGTGTATGTGTGTATGTGAGTGCCTATGCACATGTATGTGTGTTGTATGTTATGAGTGTATGTGCATATGTGAGTGTATGTGTGTATGCATGTGTGTATATTGTGCCTGCATGTATGTGAGTGTATAATGTGTAAGTGTGTGTGTATGGGTTTGTTTGCATGTCTGCATATGTAAGTGTATGTATGTGTGTCTATGTGTGTATCTGAGTTGTGTGTATGTGTATGTATGTGTGTGCTGTGTGTATGTTATGTGTCTTGTGTGTGTATGTGTGTATATGTGTGCATGTGAGTGTATACGTGTGTAAGTATGTGTGTACTGTGCTCATGTGTGTGTGTGTATGTCCGAATGTATCTGTGCATATCTGTGTATGGGAGTGTGTGAGTGTACATGAGTGTATGTGTATGTGTGTGCATGCATCTGTGTTGTGTGTTTGCAGGTGTATATGTGTGAGTGTAGTCTATATGTGTGTATGTGAGTGTGTATATGTGTGTGTGGGAGTATGTATATGTGTGCATGTGGCTGTGTAGATGTGTGTATGTGTGTTTGTGTGTGCATGTGAGTGTGTATGTGTGTGTGTGCGTGTATGTGAGTGTGTGTGTCTCTTCATTTGCATTTCTTCTAATATTTGTATTTAAGCTCTGACTCACCTTGTTTTTCTGGTGTGTATGTGTATGCATGTGTGAGTACATGCAAATGCATGTGTGCATGTGAGTGTATGTGTGTTAGAGTATGTGTGTATGTGAATACATGCATGTGTGTTATTTGTATTATATGCTTGTGTATATATGTGTGTGCGTATGTATGTGTGAGAGCATGTGTATTTGTATATGTGTTGTGTGTGCACATATATCAGTATATGTGAGTTTGTCTATTGTGTATGTGAGTTTATGTGTGTGAGTGTATATGTATGTGTATATGTGTTATGTGTGTGCATGCATATGTATGAGTGTATATGTATGTGTGTGTTGTGTGTTTATGTGGTGTGTGCATGTATGTGTGTGTGCGTGTATGTGTGAGTATATGTATGTGTATGTGTGTTATGTGTGCACATGTGTATATGATACATGTGTAGGTGTGTGTGTGTCATGTGTTATGTGGTGTATGTGCATGCATATGTGTATGTGTGCATGTATGAATGTGTGTGAGTGTATGTGTGTATGTGAGTAAAACCAAAACCAAATTCACTGTTGTCAACTCAGACCCTACTCATAGTGAACCCTCCTTGGGTTTCCGAGGCGGTATCACTACAGAAGTAGATTGCCCAACCTTCCTTCCCAGGATTGGCTGGTGGGTTTGAACCGCCAGCCTTCTGGTTAGCAGTCAAGTGCCTTAGGCACTACAACACCAGAGCTCCTCTCCTATGTGTATGTATGTGTATATGTGTTATGTGTGCACATGTGTGTGCATGTGTGTGTGCATATGTGTATGTGTGTGTACATGGGTGTGGTATTTGTATATGTTGTTTGTGTACATGTGTGTGTGCACATACGTGCATACATGTGTAAGATTGTATGTGTGTGTATGTGGGTTATGTGTATGTATGTGTGTGTGTGTCTTTGTTCACTTATCTGGGCGTTTTATTTAAGCTCTGGCTCACTGCGTTTCTGGTATGTGTATGTGTGTATATGTGTTATGTGTATGTATGTGTGTATGAGTGTATGCATGTGTTTGTGTGTGTGCATGTGTATATGTGTGAGAGTTATGTGTATGTGTGTATGTGAGTGCACGTGTGTATGTGTACGTGTGTGAGTTGCGTGTGTGTGCATATCTGTGCATGTGTGTGTGTGTATAAATGTGTGCGTGGTGTGTATGTGAGTATGTGGCTGTGCATGTGTGTATGTGGGTGTGCCTCTTCCGGTGCCTTCTCTGGGTGTGTGTATGTGGGTGTGCCTCTTCCGGTGCCTTCTCTGGGTGTTTCTGTTCACATGTGGGTATTATGTGTCCCTCTCCAGAGGTTCATGAATGCACGTGTGTGCAGTCACCTCCTAAGTTTGCCTTTTTAGGAGCGTGTGCAAAGCTCTGTTGTGTGGTGGCTGGAGCAAGCTTCGTGTACACACGTAAGCCACCCGTTTGCGTGAAGAGTGCGTTTGTATTTTATGTCTGTGTGAATGCTGTCCTGCGAGGGGTCTCCCGCTGCACCATCCTGCCTGCTTTGGCGCTGTGGGTTACACGATACTCTGTTTATTGCCCCTCCCCATGCCAGTGTCACTCCGGGAGGGCCAGGACTGTGTGTGTTCAAGGCCTTATATCCTTGTGTCTACGATAGGGCAGGACACTCGCAGGCGCCCAGTGCTGGTGAATAACCGAACGGCGTGTAGTCTGGAAGTGACGCCGTGTGTGCGCGGGCTCCGTGACGGTATCTGGGGTGTGTACCAGCGTGCATGTGCATGTGTGTGCAGTGAGTGAGCCTGCGAAGGAAGCGTGCGTAATTGCCTCCGGCGGGTGTGCCGGCGTGTTCAGGCGCCT